TTCGGTTTTCGGATCCATGATCGGGGAGTGAAGCTCTACAAGAATTTCATAGTGGCTATAGGAAATCAAAAATCGTGTCGGACGGTGTAATTAACCGAACATTCGAATCGGAAGCTGGATTAAATTTTCCGTCGAACGCATGTCGGATTTTTGCGAGAAATAGTGTATTTGCAACGCGGTTTGGACAAGAGAGAGTCGAAGTCTGGAGCATCGGCGCGGAATAATTCGTGGAAAAATGGGCGAAGCACGCGAGATAGGAGAGAAGAGGTTCCGCGGATTCGTTCCGGTCGAAACGGCGACCACAATTAACAGCTTCGACGAAACCCGTTGTTTCCGCGTCCATTCTTTTCGGCGAAAAGCGCGCGCCCGCAATAATGAAGCCAGGACGGCGCCGCGCCGCGCCGCGCCGTGACGCTTTTCATTAAGCTTGAACGTGGCGTAATTGCGTTAGCGTTCCGTGTGCCGCGCACCCTCAATGCCGCTGAACCAACACATCGTCGCGGCAAACCGGCAAACCGTCGCGCCGCGCCGTGAAACGGAAAGAACTCGGGCTGGTTCGGTCTCGAAAAACGCACCGCGTTTCCCTGTACGCTCGCCGAGTCGTATTCTTGATGGCGCAAACATAATAACTTTCTTGTTTCGCCGTAAAACGCTCCGGCAACTGGCAACTTTGTTAGGAGACGGGGGTTGGGCTTCGCCGTCGCGGATGGCTAAGGGGAGGTTAATTAATTTAATCGCGAATTTATGTCCGACGCGCGAATTGATCTCGAATTTCGAAGAATCGCGAGTCCCGATTTATCTCGACGTCTTGCTGTTTCAATTTCGATACCTGCTCGAACCTTAGTTTATTCTTTAGAACAAAACGAAATCTTGTTCTCGCGCCATCCATCTCGTTAAATAAGAAACTCGTGCACCGTTGCCCGACGTAACGCAATTAACCGGGCTTATCAGCGAGCATCGAGGTTGCATGCTTATGATTTAGGTTAAACCTGGGTTGGATTTAATAACAGCTCACCGCGTCGCACGCAACATTGTCACTGCCGTGTCATTTATTCGCGCCTGCATTATGCAGATCGCCGGCGTCGATGGAAATGCTGATGCAGTTTCGCTCGTTCCGAAGCTTTCCGCGCGCGACGACTCCCTTATAAACAAAGCAATCGATCCTGTGTTGCGCACCTAATCTTTTTAAGTTCGAGAAAAGCTGTTTCGATCGCTTTTTACTTCGACGGGCGCGTCTAATCTGCGTCGATAAAATTGCCGCGCGAGCAAAGGGTCTCGTTGCAACTGCGGGAAACGAACGGACGGAAATAATCGAGAGACCCGACAAAGACGGTCCCTCGTTTGCGATCCCGAACGGATTAAAAGAATCCTCGATAGCGGAGAATTTATGGATCGCGGA